TGAAACCAACGCGTATGTGTATTCAATTGGCCGATCGATATATTAAGTACCCTAGGGGTATTGTAGAAGACGTGTTGGTTAAGGTTGCTAAGTTCATCTTTCTGGTTGACTTTGTGATTTTGAACATAGACCAAGATCTAGAGTTTCCTCTCATTCTTGGTAGGCCATTCTTGGTCACCGTTAGGGCCCTCATAGATGGTGATGGCAAACTCGTTTTAAGAGTTGGAAATGAGGAGGTGACTTTTGACATGTCCAAAACAACAAAAAGAACCCTTTACATAATGATAATACATGTTTTTATGTGGACACTCTTGAGAGTTTTGTTGATAAGAACCCCCCCCCCCCCCAACATGCTCTCCGATTATTCATTTTTCGATTCATTGCTTGATGATGACACAAAATTTGGTGATTTAAAATCTCATGTTCTCATTGAGTGTGATACTTGTACCACCAAATGTGAGGAGCATGATTGGGAGAAGTTTTTGGAAGATGTGGAGACAATTTTGGAGGAATATGAGAATGTTAATAGTGAAAAGGAAGTCCCCTCCATCATTACCCCTTCCATCTTGAATCAAAAGTCTTTTACTCCTCATTTTGTTGTGCATTGTTATCCTCTTGAACATGATTATAATGTTGAGAAAAGTTTGCCTCTAAAACCACCATGGCTCATGAATCATTTTTTAAGATCAAATCTTGCATCACTTAGCTCGTTTGGTGGTTTAGAGTCAACCATTTCTATTCACGAGCTTTCTTTGCTTTGGAGGAGGTATGTTTTTTAGCCCGATGGGCAAAGAGGCATATCTCTTTTAAAGTTGTTTCTTTTAAAATACTTTTATAACCTCCTTTTCACGACACAATCTCTATTTATAAAATGGGTTTACTTGGGTGAGCATCTTCGGGAGTTTATGACCTAAAGAGGCATTTTGTGTCAAGCTAGTGACATTAAAGAAGCGCTTGGTGGGAGGCAACCCACGTATTTAACATTTCTTAAACATTTGAGGTATGTATTTTGGGGACGCCCTGACGTTTATCTTGTGTTCATGGGGGCGCTCCGACGCTCGTTGTTGTGCTTTCATGATCCTATCTGCTTGCATGCTTGCGCTTGGGTTCTTGAACCCCTTCACTATGCTCTTTTTTAGACATCGAGGTCGATGCCCGATTCTAAGTGTGGGGGGTTGTGTGCTTTTCTTGAAGTGAACTAAAGCTTGTGATTTTGAGTTTGGTTGTGGTCACTTTGACACTTCTCGATTGTTGTCAAGAATGAGTTTGTAGATGCATGTGAATAGGTGCATAAACTTGTTTAAAGATTCTCATTGATCAACTCTTTTGCTTGAGACTAGTTGGGAGTGCACATTTTGACCACTTGAGCGTTTAGAGACACTTTCACACACTCACACTCATTGCTTGAAATGACGAAGACATTAGTTCACCTCCACTATATCCACATTTCCACTCCATCACCTGCATATTCCCCTTAGGTGGAGCCCATTTGAGTTTGATCATTTCTTTCTCTATCCGTTATCGCTCTATATATGGCCATACTGCTTCGACTTGGAATCGTGTTGGGTGTTTGAGTTTTCATTAAGTTCCGACAGGTACACAACGGGTGGATTTACCTTAAACTTTGCCCTTGAGGGGGTTGAGATGCAATGACGACTAGGGTGAGCATGGTAGCCTTTTGAATCCTAATGCTCCTCATTTGTCAGGTTGTGTCGAAGTTATTGGTTTGGGACATTATCCTTGGTAATTTCATCTCCGTGGAGGGGCTCTGCTCTACTCGTTAGTCGTATTCTGCGAGAGTAGAGTATATTTTACATGAGATAACCCGACAAATCAGTATTTAGGCCCATCCATGACCAACCATTCCAAAAATAAAAAAAGTGCTGACTCATCCCCAATTTGAACCAACCCCTTTGCACACTCAAGGTATACACTAGCAGGTGGTTGAGCCTTGAGTGTGTACCATTGCTTGCCCACTAAAGTCGGAGCTATAGATGATACCCCTTCGAGTAATAACCCTAGTTGCACCTTGATGCCCTTTTATTACTCCTACACCCAACCATTTTTAGATTTTTGGCCTCAACCATCACCTTGCTACCCCATACCTTTCATCCATTTTAACCATCCCAATAAGTCCTTTTAATCATGCCTTGAGTTTAAAATGTGAGAGAGAGGTGACCTTGTGAGGATAAGAGTAGAAAAATGTTGACAGTGTGCTTGTGTTACTCCTTGCTTGTCTTATGTTGAAAGAATTGATCAATGTGCATCTTTATCTTGATTATGCATTTTGTCTCATGGCATTCACCATTCCTTGTATACACTCATTCATTCTTGACTCAATTGGTTGGTGCCTTGGGAACTCATTGAACTTGTGCTCCGAGTTTTAGTTTGCTTGAGGACAAGCAAAGACTCAAGTGTGGGGGAGTTGATATGTGTGAAGATTAACACCTAATACTTTCTCATAAAATGTGGTTTTTGTTTGTTAACTTTTGAAGATTATTCTCCCATTTTTAGTTTTATTTGTGCAAAACTTTGGTTGTAGGAACCACATGAAGGATTTGAGCGTTGTAGGGGTGAAAATCGGGCATTTGAAGAGTCTCGAGAGCATAAATGAATGGTTTGAAGACCCCGGGAACAAAGCGGAGCACAAGAAAGCAAGAAACAAAGATGTCGGAGGTGTTTCGGGGAAGGCATCCTTAGGAACGCCAAAGGGGACGTATTTCCCCCCTGCGTTCCCCCATTTTGTTCCTCCGGATTTGGAATTTCATGTCCCAGGTGTGGGAACGCTGGCAGGGAACGATGTTCCTGTCAGCGTTCCTGCGAGAACGACGTTCCTTTTCCGTTCCTCCCAGCATCGAACTTTCTGCCAACCGACTGCTTTATTTTGTTAAGGGTAGGAACGCCGACGGGGAACGCCGTTCCCCCTATTCCCCATATGTATAAATAGCGACCCTTGTTCGAAATTTCAGAGTTTTTGGACGAGAATTCTCTTGCAAACCCTAGTTTTGGTTGTAAGCTTCCTTAAACTTACATCAAATACTTGTTATTCTTGCATTAAATCACTTATATTGCATTAAATCGCTAATCTCATTCCCTTTCTCTTATTGCTTCATTTCATTACTTTGTGTTGCATATGCTTTATGAGTATGAAATCTAGCATGAGTGAGTAGTTGTATTAGGGATTGGGGGTGTTTGAGGAACATCCAACCATGTGATGTGTTAGGTTTTGGGGTTTGATTTGGGGGAATTTGAGAAATATATTATGCATACAATGTGTCTCTGAAAATGCTTCTTTGTATTTCTAAGACTTTGATGACCACAATGTTCTTAGATGATGTTTTGGATCCTCAAGGAGACTTGTAGGGTTTCTTTTGACACATTCACACACACACCACCTCCTCTCCATGAGAATGGGAGAAAGTAGGGGAATAAATTGTTGGTTGCTCTTCTTTGCATGACTTTGGATTTCTATTGGACCATGAGAATGGCCAATAGGAGACCTTAGTACCCCCTTGACCATGAGAGTGGTAAGGGAACTTGTAGCTATCCCTTTGTTGCATGATATATTCCCAAATATCCCCATTTTGACCCCTTATCCTTAATCATAGGTTGTTCCTTGTATGCCCCGCTTCCCTTCTAGTTTAATCGTTATCTATTTCCATTGCAATTTAGTTGTTCTCTTAAATCAAACATACATCGACTTGGCTAGCTTACATCTTAGATTTCTAGATTGATTTCACACTTGATTTTCCATATACACCGTCCCGTGAAACGATATTCAGGACTTCCACATCCCGACACCCGATGAGCTTCATTGTGAAAATGACTCGTCAGTATTAAAAGTCTATATGTTTCCATCAGGTCATCAACTGATGTATTTCAATGATATATTGGTTATCATTAAATATATATTACCAACCCGTCTTGAGGTAATCTTCATATGTTTTTGTTTTTGCCATTTCAAAATAATTCTAATGCATTTTTGTTTGAGAAAATGAGTATATGGTTAATATGATGTATCGTTTGATTTTTCTCAACCTAAATCTTTCTACACGCTTGCATGTAATTGCACTTTTTAGTAATAGATAGATGTGAAAATTGACAATTAAAATGATATTATTATTTGATATTGAACGAAACATGGGACACACTATCATGTAAGGATTTATGGATGTACTCCAATATGTGTAGTAGTATTGGTTAAGAAAGGATGACGCTATGGCGTTGTGTAATAGTATTGGTTAACATATATACCATATTTTTATCTCACCTTTTCTGAAATATATATAATTAATTACTTGTTTGTTTTTCTCAGCGTAAAAGTTCCTGAATATGACAAAATACAACCCATTGTCTTCAAAAGATCAATATTATTAAGTTTTAAAATTGAACTCGTTTACTTTTTTTTTGGAAAAACTCGTTTACTCATAAAAGTAACACTACCTTTTTTTTATTCATTTACTGAAACAAAATTAATTCATATTTTGACAATAAGTGAGTTTAGACATCATTTGTCTTCTTACTCTTCTATTGTGGTCATTTTTTGTTTTCGAATGTATAAATGCAATTTTTTTTTTATTAACGTGTTGCTTAAATCATTTCTTGAAATAGTTTGATACTTTCAATAACATCCATGTAGAGATATGTCTTCATCTCACAATTAATTAACTTTATAGTTTGACTTTCACGACCTTCAAAGTCGACATTTGACTCTTAATATTTAAGAGTATTATTTATATATTAATTAACTTTATAGTTTGACTTTCACGACCTTCAAAGTCGACATTTGACCGTTAATATTTAAGAATATTATTTATATAATCCATATTAGATTAACATTGCATCAATATAATTTAAATTTTAGTATTCAAATTATTTTCGTGTTGTAAAGAAGATATTTTTTGTATTTAATGGTAAAAATTAACATAATTAGATTCAAATTAACATACTTTTACTACTTTAAATGTAAAATGTCCATTCATATGTGATAGTGATGTTACCTTGGGGGTGAAACTTAATCCAATATTTAATTGCCCCTTATATCTGTCATCTTCAAGAATAACATTATGGGGCATTGGTTTCATTTCAACAAATCCACGCTCATTTCCCTCTGCGATTATCCCCTTCAAGTGTACTCTGAAATAATAAAATAAAAAAATGATTATTAAGAATGTGTGTTTCTGACGGCCTCAAAAGAGATTCTACTTTTTATTTTAGTCCATACAAAAAAAAGTATATATTCATTTAAAATTAAAAAATCATTGAGTGATTCATAAACCTTCTTTCTAAAAAAAGAATTTAAAAAAAATTATGCATAAACTTTAACTATTAAATTCTAGTAAATATGACCAACTGAATAAATAATTTTAAATAAAATTCACGAAAAATAATAGTAAAATCAATACAGAATTCGAAAATAAAATACTATATATTTTCTTTAAATCAAGTGCATTATTGTCATACTGAACTAATACATAATGTGACATTTTGACATTTTCATACATTAAAATGTTAGCGTAAATCTAGTAATTAACATATTTTCATAACACGACAATAATTTCTCATATTTACAGAAAATATAACACTCCTATTTCAAAATTGCACATTTTTTTTATCATATATAAGATATACTCCCTCCGTATCTATTTACTTAACTTGCCTCGCTTTCCCTTTCGGAACGTATAAAAAAACGTCTCATTCCCTTTTTGGAAATAAATCCACTCAAAAAGCAGCTACAGTACCGCTACAGTACCAAAACCTCTTACTTTACATATAATTGTAACTATGTAAAAAAGCATACGGGCCAAATAAATTGATACGGAGGGAGTATATATTTGGAACGATGTAGAATTATACGGAGTATGTTTGTTACCACAGGTAAAACGTAAAAATAATGTTTTAATTACATGGTTTTGCCCACAAATCCATTTGTGAAAACATCATCATGCATGATTTTTAACTTTAGGTGGTAATATTTTTCCAGATCTGCCATTGGTAATTCAAATGTGAATTTCTGATTCCAGCAAATCTCTTTTGGATACCCTGCAAATTCGTTTTACAGAATGAGAGAAACAAAACAAAAATTATTCAAGGGAAAGTAGAAAAGGACTCTTTACATGGTAAATTTAAAGTATATTTGTACCTCTGGAAATTTTGCTCTTGTACACTTGTGATCCACATTCAATAATGACATAGTAGTTTCCTTTCCCTACAAATAAAAGTAATGTACAAAGTAAACACCAATTAAATTTCATAGATAGATTAATGTTGTAATAAATACTCATAATTTTAGAAGAGCTATTAGTCCCAAAACGGCCAATTAACTTTGTAAAAGAGATAATTCTGATATGAGTGATGTTGTGATATAAAACAAGAATTTGTATACTCAAAATATATTAAAATCATGCTTGCTAGTTGAATATGAGATCTTTAATTAAGCTTCCTCACACAATTTATGGGCGTGTTTGACATTAACGTTTAGCGGATATCAAATTATGTTAGCGAGTTGTTAATAATCAATTCTGTCAGCGGATTTGACTAACAAAATAAGTTAGCGAGTTGCAAAAAGATGATTTAATTGTTTGATCATAACTAGTAGGAAATGTCTCATTTCAAGACGCTAACTCAAAACGCTATTATTAGCATGCATTTACATTTCAACGGAATTCGTAAAAAAATGTCAAGGCCGAATAGATATTTACCAAACAACGTTTCACCTACTCAAAATGCTAAAATAGTTCAAATCGTCATATTTTAAATGAAAAACGTTTTTCAGTTAAAAAGCTCCTAATATACATTTATTATTTAAATATATATCCTCTATATATCGCTGAAAGAAATAAGTTTTTTGAAGCAACCCTATACTTGTGAAAGACTGAAAAAGGGCATTACCAAGATTGTGGCCAATTCCTTCGGCACTAGCAAGAAGTACTTCAAGGATTCCGCCCTTCATAATGAAAGTCTTTCCCAACACTTATTTAGCATCCACATATAACTTTAAACTAATTGACGACAGCGTGAGTTTTTATATGTATTCGATCATAATGGAACTCATTTAACTCATTAAAGCCTTCACATAAACGTTACATATTTTGCAATAAATTAAATTTTGTAATAAATTGCATTCTCAATGCATATGTAACGTCTTTTGCATAAAAACTAGTCTTAGCTTTTGTATGGGATGGAGAGGTATATTTGATTAATTATCTAATTACACTCAAATAATCAGTTTTTTTAATTTTACTTATCATCATCATCATTATTATATTTCCATCATTTGCAATGGAGCCAAAGATTCATTATTTTTTGGCTTGAGAATATGATGAAATAAAGCAAAATGGCTCACTAAACTGTCTGCGCTTCTTTGTTATGAAGTAGCAGTCAGTCCATGCAATTTTGGATGCGATTTTCACTACGGGTCATCCGGAAACAGTCTCTCTTAGCTTGTACAGGGGTAAGACTGCGTACATCCGACCCCCCCTTACTTCACTGTAGGTGGGAGCCTTTGCGGCACTGGGGTAAATGAAAATGAAATGATCATCATCATTATTATGACTAATCACACCCAGAATAATTATTTATTATTAATTTATACGGAGTACTTCAAACCGTCAAATATATTTATCAATGTGATAATTATATCCCAATGAATCTCGTTTTTCTGTACGACAAACTGATTTTGTGATGCATGTGGTGATTTTCAAACATAGATCTATGGAACTCCTATTGGAGTTTTTTCATAAAATGGTACTGAAATAAAACTTATTTACAAATATATGATTAATAGACGGTATATTAATTATAATATCATATATATAGGCACTTAACTGCATTGATAGATTCTATGTTACCCATAAAGTATCATACCTTTGTTCACATGGACCAATCAAAATGATGCAATTGAATTATTTAAATCTAAATTAAAAAGGATATAATGATTTGGATCAATCAAATAATGCATGCTAGGTACGATACCCCATTTTTTAAATGAATACCGGAGTTGTCACCTTATAGAATATACTCCGTGTGATGTAGTACTAGCTAAGATACACGTAGGGCTTGTTTGCAATCAATTAAAAAAAGTGATTTTGGCTTTTCTTTAAGAAAAAACACTTATTTTATCAAACATTATCAACTTTTACTTCCTCGGTTTTCGTGTAGAATCTACTTTTTACTTTTTCTATTACACAAAAAGCATTTATTTTACCAAACACTACCAACTTTTACTACTAATCACTTTTTCCCAAAACGTGCTTTTATTTAAGCACAAGTGGTTGCAAACAGAGCCATAGTATGTAGTTGTGTAAATAAATTTTATTTTAATCATAGATAATTAATTATTTCTACTTCCAACTAAGTGACAGAATAAATAAGATCTGATTTGATAGAGAATAAACGAAGTGACAATAGTATAAAATTATAAATTTATGAGTGACTTCAGTGTACTTGTTATGTTCTCGTGCATTTGTAGTCAGGAGAATTGAAACCACATAGACTACATAGTTGCATACTTTATTCGGTATTAATTTGAATGTTGAAATAAAGATTAGCCTCAATTCCAATCTCTTATCCATATATTCCCTACGCATTTCAGGTCACATTTTGGACTCCATCTTTGGCTCTCGAGGTTTGAGAAACGTGAGGGCAGCCTCTTGCCCCACCGACGCCACAAGCTGCCACATTCACAAATGAGTAAAATTAAAGTAATGTAGAGTCCTAAAATTGAATCACTAAATTTTAATACCAATTTTATAAAATTGAATCGCTACACTTCTTCAGAATAAAAAGCCAGGAAAAAGAATATACCGAGTACATCTTAGAGCATCTTCAATGCTAACACGTTAACAGTACATATATGGCATGAGAGATAGCCAATCAAAAAACAATAAATAAAATATCTCTCTCCTTATTTGAAGGATCTTATATCATTTTGATAAGTTTTTCTTCACAATGTCAAACACAATGTCTATATGTAGACATTATTGTTGACATTGCAGAGAAAAACTTACCAAAAACAAATAAGACCGTAGAAAGACGGGGAGAGAAATGTCATAAAATCAATCTTTTGTGTCTATCTCTCTCATGCCACATGTGCACCGTGCACATTGTAGCACATTGAAGATGCTCTAAGTACTCCATTCGTTCCATGTATCCACTTTCTTTTTTAGTAAACAATTAACAATCTTAAATGACAAATTAATCATTACATATTAAACCTGATACATTTATAACATCACAATTATCACCAACAATAACTTCAATATATTATATACGTAGTACCTATTAAAATTATTTCTAAAAATATATTCAAACTACCTTATTTAATTATTGTCTAAATAATCACGTTGTTTTGCCATGATAACCTTCAACGGGATAGAGGTACTGCGGTAGTACTATTTTAGAAATTTATTTCTGTATGCAACATCCTTATTCTTACTTGGAGTGAAATTTACTTTTGAAGTTTCGTTTGATTTGTTTAATTCTGATATGTTCTAATTTATTTAAGTCAAACTTGGTCTAGTTTAGAACTAGATTTCTTCCAAAAAAAATCAACCTTTTAGCTAAACTTTACTTTGATTTGATATTGGATCACCTCTTATATACTACGTATTTTAATAGATAATATGAAGTGTACGTAACAAATCCAAAGAATGAATCACATGCAATTATATATTGCCCGCATAAATGAAACACACATAGGACGGAGCTCTTTTTACCTCGCCATTCCTGTTAAAGATTTGACTTTTAACAAAACCACGTGATTTATAAGCGGATGGAGTATGAACCTGGTAAAAACAAAATACAATTAACAATTATTTAAAATAATATACCGAGTAATTAGAAAGTATGGACAACGTATATGATTTTCTACAGATTAGAAAATACGATTTTTCTCATTTATCATTTTGAAATGTTCCAAAAAATCTCATTTCCCTTTTTAAAAGGTTTTGTATAATTAACATGCATTTCATTCACTACAAAAAAACATTGACTTAGGCACTTCAATTAGGCACTTAAACTTGTGGTGATTATAGTCACCGCCTTTGTCACCTATACTAAGGTGACTAAATTGAAAGTGTCTGTCACCACTTTTCTCACTTACAATACTTGGTGAAAAAACTAAATGACGAATCAAACTCTTGATGAAACAATTACTTCGTACGGAATATAAATAAAAACCTATCTCACTTAATTAATCTTATCCTCTCTAGTTTAATTTTACCACTCTGCCATTTATTGTCCCACTAAAATACAACCGTTGTTCCACTAAAATAACTCCCTAAAATATATTGGGCGCACACAACACACCTCTTGCCGCATAACTTCTAAATAAAAATGAAGCTATTCAATAGTCTCTTAAATCAAAGTTCAGGAACGCTATCTCAGTCTTCCAACATCTGCTAATCATCCAGGTAATGCATTTGAATTGATATGATGCATTTATTTTTTGGGCATATACATACACAGTATGTTCTTTTTTAAAATTTGGCTCAGTGGAAGAGCAATTATTTTTTAGATTTTGTTCATTAGTGTGTTAAAAGTATGCAGATGCCTAGAATGAATTACGGATTCTCGGCTGAAAATATGAAATTATCATTTAGCCTTGAGGTTTATATTTGAGATGATTGTTTTATTAGTAAGAAACAAGAAAAAATGTATATATTTCTTCATGTTGTTGGGCGCTGGCTGCTGCTACATACTACGTATTTTTCAATTCATTTTTGCCTTAGTTTTCATGTTTACCGATGTCGTAGACTTTTAAATTACAGCTTCCATTTTACTTAAAATGGCTATATAATGCAGAAAATGATAGAAGATGGATGACTTGTTTTGCTGAATACAGACATACAGTAGCTTTGAAGCCTTGCATAGTCCGATCAGTATTTTATATGACGGGTCAAGTTGCTCCAATTCAAGCTCTAGGTCTAAAATTTTCAGAATTTACATCCAACAATTCTCATTCTCGCAAGCAAGTAGCATCTCAAGGAAAATCTTTTCAAGATGCATGGCGCAATGAATTTTACCGACTTGACGAATTTGACTCACCATTGTTGTCAACATCGTTTAGAAATTAATTTTAGTATTTATTTTACCCCTTTTCATGTATGCATCTTTGAATTATTGTATAATTACATTGTTTTAAATGATTATTTGTTGATAATGATATGGTTAGAGACATATACTACGTATTTAGAATATGTTTGATTC